TAACCAATGCTAGCATAGCCAGACACATGACTGAGGGAGTAGCTTCCACTTCTTGCTTTTCTACCATCTGCTGGGCCTCGGTTGTTAACTTCTTCAGCTGACCCCATGCTGGCACTTCAGTCCCTTGTGTAGCCTTCCTTTTCTTCTCTTTTCCGCTTTGCTGTCATTGGAGCAACTCTCAGTCTTTTGAACGAAGGGACAAGGACCTTCTCTGGGTCCACTGTGGTGACACACATAATGCTCTGGTACCCAAATTGGCTGCGCTGCTCCTTCTGGAAAGATACAAACACAACCTCTGCCCCACATCATTACTAGATCTGGTAAAACTCTTGTCCGGTTTGTGCATCCTTCCACCGGGCTACCCCGGCAGAGCCTATTGCACTGGAGGTCCAATGCCTTTCGGCTGCTGTACAGCTCTCTGCGTTGTAATTCAAAAAATTTAACACACGGAAGGAGGCAGGAAACCAAACACGAGCAGGAGCTGGGTGGGCACCATGGCTGGGATCTCCACCATTGAGACGGTGAAACGCAAGATCCAGGTGCCGCAGCCGCAGCCGCAGCCGATGGTGCCGAAGAGAGGGCCGAGTGCCTCCAGCGGGAAGTGGAGGGAGAAAGGCGGGCTCGGGAACAGGCTGAGGCTGAAGTGGTTGAGGAGGGGCTGGACCGGCTCAGGAGCGCCTGGCCACTGCCCTGCAAAAGCTGGAGGAAGCTGAGAAAGCTGCCAGTGAGAGCGAGAGAGGTATGAAGGTTATTGAAAACCGAGCTTCAAAAGATGAAGAAACGCTGGAACTCCAGGAAACCCAACTCAAAGAAGCTCAGCACATTGCAGAAGAGGCAGATAGAGAGTATGAAGAAGTGGCTCGTAAGCTGGTGATTACTGAGGGAGACTGGGAATGCACAGAGTCCCGTTGCCGAGAGATGGATGAGCAGAAGAGACTGATGGGCCAGAACCTGAAGCGTCTGAGTGCTGCTGAAGAAAAGTATCCTCAGAAAGAAGACAAATATGAGGAAGAGATAAAGATTCTTACTGACAAACTCAAGGAGGCAGAGACCCGTGCTGAGTTTGCTGCGAGATCGGTGGCCACGCTGGAAAAGACAACTGATGATTCGGAAGATAAACTGAAATGCACCAAAGAGGAACACCTCTGTACACAAAGGAGGCTGGACCTGACTCTGCGGGACCTGAATGAGAGGTACAGCCACCCGTCCTACCCTGCCGCCGCTCCTCCCTCTGACCCTGACCCTCCCTCCGCCTGAGGCCAGCCTGCTGGAAGCTGACCTTTAACTGGAAGGCTGCTTTCTCCTTTCACTGCCTCCCACCCCCCACCCGTGTCTTTTTCGCCACATTGTCTCTGCCTCCCCTCAGAGATTTTGATAGGGCTAGAGGCTGAGCACCTTTGGGGACATTTAAGGGAATGTGAGCACAGTGCAGTGTCTTTAGAAGCATGTTGTGATGTACACATTTTGTAATTACCTTTTTTGTTGTTGATGTGGCAACCATTTGTAGAACATTCCAAATAATTCCACAGTCCTCAAGCAGCAGTCTAATCCCTTTCTCACTTGTAGGAGGTAATTTTTCAGCTTAATCCATATTGCCCTCTCCATAAAGGAGGGAAAAATCTATGGCCTGCCTTACTGGGATCCACGTAGAGCCCAGAGAACGACTCCACTATGGGGAATCATTGCTTTGTGCAGAGTACTAGCCAAATTGAAAAGGTGATTCCAGGAGGAGTTAACCACCCCCCAAAAAAGTTATGTTTAGGTTTCAGCTTTTAAGGCATCTTTAGGCAAGTCATTTTTTTCATCAGAAGTGACCAAATTAAAATGGTGAGACCTCTCTGTCAGAGACCAAATTCTTGTCCCATCTCTGCCCTTTCCCCAGTGGTTCACAAAGTGGATCATGTGCCACTTATGTTGAAGTGACCAGTTACTTGCTCTCCTGCCTCCTTGAAAGAAATAAAATGATGTTTTTGCCACTGATTTAGCCAAATGAAACTCATCTCATTACCCTCCTCTGGGTCTGAAGCTGCCATCTCATTGTGCTTTGTACCAGTTAGTGCTGGAGAAATCTTGAATAGTTTATGTACAAAACTTTTAAAATTTTGTATTACTTTGAAACTTTGCTTCTTTGGGGTTGGGGCACACTGGCCACCCCGTCTGGCTGTGAGAGCTCGCTACAGTCTGGGCTGGCAGTGTGCTGATCTTTAAGTTTCTTTCCCTACCTAATGCCCTGTTTTTAGTGAGGTCTGTTAGGTGCGCATCCTGCAGCTAATTGGCTTAAAATGTACTCTCCTTTGGTGTGGTACCTGTGGCCTTGTTTTTAGGCCAGGAGAAACTGGCATGTTTATGGGCTCAGAGGAGAGAAGAACGAAAGTGAGAAAGAAGATGTCAGGGAGAAGAGATAACTGAGGTACATGGTCCCAAGGGAACAGAAGGGGCTGAGACAATATGCAAATGGGCTGGAAGGAGGGAGGCATAACTGCTGGGTGGTGGGTGACGTGTGCAGGAAGTTGACAGTTTATGCTTATATATCCTCTGATGGGAGCGCCAGCGAGAAGCACCAGTGTCCTCTCTTAAATCTTCCCAACTGTAAGGACTTGATCTCCATCTTAATATTGAACCTTTTACCCACAGATCATGTAGGCTGACATTTTCTCTTTGCTGAAGGGGGAGTAGCTCTCCCAAAATACATCATTCTTTTTTTTAAATATATATTTTATTGATTTTTTACAGAGAGGAAGGGAGAGAGAGAGAGAGAGAGTTAGAAACATCGGTCAGCCGCCTCCTGCACACCTCCCACTGGGGATGTGCCCACAACCAAGGTACATGCCCTTGACCGGAATCCAACCTGGGACCTTTCGGTCCGCAGGCCGATGCTCTATCCACTGAGCCAAACCGGTTACGGCCCAAAATACATCATTTAAATAAGAGGTGATTTATTGTTTAACTGAAGGACTCGATGGAACACAAATATAAATGGGTCATGGGAAGAGAGGGTCTCAACTGAGTAAGCCATCAGGCTCTCCCTGAGTTTTCCTCATGTTAATGCTACACGTCACCATCACGGGTCTGGCCCATGGGTCTGCCCAAAGTGTGGCCTGGAAGGCATGATCCGAGGCTGGTGCGTCGCTGGTGATTTGCACAGACCTTATGGGCCCTGGTCCTTGGTCTCCATTCTGGTTTTTGGTGCCAATCAGTTTTCTGCAGAAATGGGAGGCTGCCACTCAAAATGGAGCTTGCCATTTAGTCACTGACCATTCCAAAGGGGTGTTACAGTTGCTCTTCCAATTGCATAATAAGCAGTGGATGGAGGTGATTGAGTCAGGGCGCAGGAGAAGCCTGGCATCGATTGCTAGCACTGCCATAGAACTCTGATTGGCATCACCAACAGCATGATGGTTCCTGAGGTTGTTTTCCTCCTGGTTGGTTAAATCAAATATACCTCCTAAGAAAGGCCTTCAGGGACCACCCTACCTAAAGTCACACACCTCCTGTACGCCCTCACTATTCCCTCCCCATTTACTGTTCTTCCTTGTGTTCATCACAGCTTCCTGGAGTTGTTTGTTTGCGCGCGGGGGGGGGGGGTATTGTTATTTGTTTATTGTCCATCTTCCCACTGGAATGTAAACTCTATGGGAATAGACTGCCCGTCTGGCTTGCTCAGTGCTGTAACCTCCACAACTAGCACATCGCAGCTACTCAGTTTTTTAGTGAACACATAAGTAGAAATGTTTTACAACAGTGGGATCATATTATGCATTCTTTAATATATTTTTACTGATTTTTAGGAAGAGAGGAAGGGAGAGAGAGAAACATCGATGTGGGAGTGTATCATTGATCAGCCTGGCCAGTGTAGCTCAGCAATTGAGTGTCAACCTATGAACCAAAAGTTCACTGGTTCAATTGCTGGTTAGGGCACATGCCCAGGTTTCAGGTTTAACCCCCAGTAGGGGATGTGCAGGAGGCAGCTGACCAATGTATCTCTGTCATTGATGTTTCTCTCTCTCTATTCCTCTTGCTTCCTCTCTCTATATATAATCAGTAAACATATATTTTAAAAAAATGATCAGCTGCCTCCTGTACACCCCTATCAGGGATTGAGTCTTCAACCTGGGCATGTGCCCTGACAGGAATTTGGTCCATGGGACAGTTCCCAACCAACGGAGCCACCTGGCCAGGATTCCCGGTTTTATTTTTAAATCCTTAGCCAAGGACATACTTAGAGAGAGGAAGAGAGAGAGAGAGAGAGAGAGAGAGAGAGAGAGAGAGAGAGAGAAACATCAATCAGTTGCCTCCCACAGGTGCCCTGACCAGGGATCCAACCCCAAACCCTGGTATGTGCCCTGATGGGAATCAACCCACCATTTTCTGGTGTCTGGGACCACACTCCATCCAACTGAGCCACCCTGGCCAAGGCTATTTTACTTAAATTTAATACAAATAAAAGAAACATGTAAAATTGAAAGCATTGTTAGATTGTTCGTCCAGGCAGGATCCACAGTTCGGAGTTTTATGTTTGGATTTCAGTATCTTTGAAATCCCTGCTAAGAAATGTGAGCAAATTAGCATAAACTTCCTCCATGAACCCACTTTTATGAACTATATTATTTATCCATTGTTTAACATGTATATGATTTTTATTGTAATTCCCACACTTATTAGTCTTACATATTTAAATCGACTCATTTTCACATTCTTATTTTATACTGTTTTGAGATATTAAATAGTTTTAATTTCTATGGAAGAATCGCGGCATCAAAACTTTTAAATAAATGTGTTTCGGAACTTCCAGAGAGTAGGTGGAAGTAAGTTCCTTCCTGGGTCAATGATTGTGCTCAGGGACCCTGGTTGTAGTCCTGGCCCTGCCTCGGGCTGGAATGTCTGGGCCGGCGCCCCAGGGTGCAGTGCCGCCAGGGGCCGCCAGGGGCCGCCACCGCCGGGTGGGGCTCTGCAGCGCCGCTCTGTGCGTCGCCCGCGCCCAACCGGAGGGGGAACTAGACCCGCGGGCGCAGCGCAGTGCACGCTGGGTCGGCGTAGCCATGGCGGCTCGTGTCCTTTCCTCCTGTGTCCGCCGCCTGCCCGCGGCCTTGGCGTCGCTGCCCCGGCTTCCCACGCTGGCCGCCGCCCGGCCGCTCAGCACCACGCTGCGCCCCGCGGAGACCCAGTCGAGGCCCAGGGCTCCGGGCTCGGCGCTCGCGCAGGTGACTCGCGGTGACTTTGCCGGGCTCGGCAGGGGTCAGGGACCGGGCCTGGGGCGGGGGTGGGGTTGGGGCCCGGGCGGCGGGGCCGCGCTGGCCTAGCGGGGCCGGGCATCTGGCTAGCTCCCTGCTCCCAGCGCCCCTGGCGGACGGTGCTCGGGTGACCCTGCGGGAGGCCGTGCGACCTCGTGGCAGCCCTGGGTTCGAATGTCGCCGCCCTTAGGAGGACGTGGGACGGGGGTCCTCGCCGCCGCTGCCTGTGGAGCGGCCTGAGCGTAGGGAGGACCGGCCGGCGGAGCGGGGGCGGCGCTGGCGGCAGCTTCTCGGGGGAGGGGGGGGGTCTAAGGCGCGGGAGCGGAGGGGAGCCACGATGCCCGACAGCCGCCCAGGGCCGTTCTCCCCGATTGCCCCTCTGGAAACAAGGGTGGGGAGCAGGGAGCATCTAGCGTTTATGTGATGGAACCTCTAGGGTGAGATCCCTCGCGCCCTCCACCCCCAGGTCTGACTTCCCTTTGGGAGGCGGCCCAGCACGGGTTTTTGCTCGAGCTCCCCGGTGCCTGAAGCGCACAAGGTTCAAAACCATTGTCTGACGGTGGATAGACTCCCAAGGTCAGGCTGGAAGCCCCGTGTCGAGCTTCCGGACCTCGCCGTAACGGTGCTTCCAACCTTGACCAAGATGTCAGGATAACACCTAAGGCTGCCCGGGGCCAAATCAGTCCGAATTCATAGGCTTGGGCGCCTGAGGCAAGGGATTATTCTGTGCAGCCAGGGTTGAGATTTACTGACACTAGCAGATTATTCACAGGACATTGTCCCGTTGCCTGAACTGGAAGTTAAATTAAGGGGTGAGAGCGGAATGTGGAGGGGCTGAGTGTGTTCCTGAGCTGACTTCAGTCTGCCCAGAGCAAAGCGATTGCCCCTGTCCTTAGAGCGCTGACACTCGCGTGATGGTGCGTGTAGGTCGCCTACATATGGATTCTGGGAAAGGGCTGAGAAGCAGAAAGGAGGGAGAGACAGAGAAATATCAGTGTGAGAGGGACACGTTGATTGGTTGCCTCCCACATGCACCCCAACCAGGACCAGGGATCAAACCTGCAACCCATGTATGTGCCCTTGACCGGGATCAAACCCTTGACCCTCCGAGGCGCAGGCTGGTGCTCTAACCACTGAGCACGGCGGCCGGGCCTTTAAGATGCTGGGTTACCTGTGCTTGGTTTACATGTACGCAGAGGAACTGTTTTGTTTATATGTACAAGTGGTTTTGACTACGTGCTCCCATTCAAGCACCTTATTCTTTGTGGGTTGAGGTGGAGAGTAAGTAAGGGTTCATGTTCATGCAAAGGTGCTGAGGGACAGCTGTGTGCCTGCAGGCCTGTGCCAGCCGGTCAGGGATGTGAGATGGCTCCTAAGAAAGACATTCGTTCAGGTCCTCACTGGATACTTGGCAGCCCTATGTAAACCTGCCAGCTCATCCCTCTCCCCATCGCCCCAGGCTGTTCTCTTCTCCCAGCGGACACTCTGCCTCGCCTAAACCTTACATGTTGGTGAACTCCAGCGCTCTTACCGCACGCTCTCCCTGGACTGTCTCTTGGTTCTGTTATGACCAGTCACCCCAAGTCCCCACCTCCATTCTGTGTTCATCCCATCTGGATGGCTGCTCCTTCCACCCATGCCCTGCTGTTGGTTTTCCCTCCTCAAAATTCATCCACTGCTGATCTCAGAGCAACCAGCTACTCACAATATCCTTTTTCCCTAAAAAAAAAAAAAAAAAAAAAGGCGCTAAAGCCGCTTTCCCGGGTGTAAAAAGATAAGACTTAGAAGTAGAAGGTCGGAGAACAAGGGTGGTAGTCTAAAATGGAGCCCACAAGTCCGACATTTGACCCCGGCAGGCTCTGGATCCACACTCGCAGCCAGAGCACAGAGCATTTCCAGGGACTTCTGTGGGCTGCGGTACCCACACGAAGACAAAGCCTGGTGCAGGGACAGCCTGACCGTTCTTAGTACCAGAGCCACATGACATGGGTGACAGTGATGGGCTCAGGACTGTGGTCTGGCCGCATTTTCATCCCCCAGTGAGACAAACCTATTCTGTCTCACTCGAGGCTCTGCGGCCCTGGCCCCTGCCTCACACCAGAGCCTGCGCTGGTCTGCCCCCTCCCCTAGGTCGCCAGCAGTTTGAACCACTTCCTCTCACAGGCACACTACGCTTTCATGCCTCCTTTCCTTTCCTTGGCCTGCCCTTCCCTCCTTGAATAATCTCCTGTCCTTTTAACTCCAAGTCCCTTCCCTTCCTCTCAGTGAATGACAACTTTGGTTACTGAAGCAGCCTATCAGTACCTTTGCTATGGCTCTTGTCTCTTTGTTTTTAATGTTTTTTATTGATTTTTCGAGAGGGAGAGAGAATCATTGATGTGAGAAACACTCGGCGCCTCCCACATGAACCCCGACCTGGGGTGGAACCCACACCTGAGCATGTGCCCTGACCGGGCATCGAACCAGCAACTTTTTGGTGCACAGGATGACACTCAGCCAACTGAGCCACACCGGCCAGAGCTCGTCTCATTTTTATTACAGCTGAGATCTGTGTGGATGCTTCTCTGAAAATCGAGGTCATGTCTTTATCGTGGTCATTCCAGCCCATAGCACAGCGCACACACAGCACACAAGGTAGCTTGCAGGCGGCTGAGTCATGTAAATAAAGGGAAAGCATTGCCACATGTGAGGACGGGTGTGTGTACAGTGCAGACGCCAGGACGACTAAACCCCACAGCATGGTCTCCAAGGCAGGATGCAGGGCATGTGGGGCTGAGGAAGAGCCTATTGCACCCTTAAGGCTGCCCCAGGATGCCTGTGCAGGGAGAGGCCTCAGCTGAGGTGGAAGACAGCAGGCATGTTGTGAAGGCGCCGTAGGGCCCTGAGGAGTGTGGATGTTCTCTGTCTAGGTCAGGGAGTGAACATTAAACAAGGTTTGTTGCAGGGATGAGTGAGACCCCCCCAGCCAGCCATGTGGGGTGACCAAGTGAGTAAATACAGTGCTCGGTGGGAAGAGTGGAACTGGTCTGGTCTGTGAGCAGGCATTTTGCAGACAGAGGGTGAGGAGTTCGTTTCCGAACTGGGCTCTGGGATGTGTGCTGCCGGCCGGAATTGTGCGGGCAGTGGCAGATGGCCTTCAAAGCCGCCTCCTTCGGCTCCTTTGGAGTTTCCCTCAGAGCTGGGCCCCAGTGGAGAGAAGATGGGTTCTGATGGGAACTAACCAGGCTCGATAATTTCTACTGTTCCAGAGGGTAGTCCCTCATTCCTGCAAACAGCGCCTTCTCTGATGGCTGTGGGAGAAAGTTCCTGTTAAATAGAACTGTTAGGAGTGCATCTTGAGGAAGAACAGTTAACATCAGAAACAACACCTGTCTCTTCTGTTTTAAACAGTGGAGACCCAGCAAGCAGGAGCAGTAAGCCCTCCAGGAGGTGGGTGATAGTACTGTGTATCTCCTAGTGTGTGAGAACTAAAAGAATTGATGTGAGGGAGGGCAGTGCTTGTGGCAGCACTATAGTCCGACCTGATAAGAAATAACCTAAGGGGAGGCATGGGAGGAAGCAGGAGCGGTGCTGTAGGGCTACTACCCAGAGCCTCACACTGGCAGGGCAGCGGCATCACCCGGTCCTGTGGGGCGCCCTGCAGAGCACACTCCCTGTGTGCGTGCCCGGCATCATCTCACTGATGCCTCCCAACAGTCCTGTGAGCTTGGCATGTTGTTTATCCCATCTTACAGGTAAGGAAACTGAGGCATAGAAAGATTAGTAATGCCCGGCCAGTGTGCCTCAGTGGTTGAACATCAACCCATGAACCAAGAGGTCACTGGTTCGATTCCCGGTCAGGGCACATGCCTGGAGTTGCAGGCTGAATCCCCAGTAGGAGGCATACAAGAAGCAGCTAATTGATGTTGTTTCTCTCTCATCGATGTTTTCATCTCTCTCTCCTTTTTCTCTCTAAAAAAATCAATAAAAACATTTTTTAAAAAAAAGGTTAGTAAGAGCGAGCTAGTGCAGTCTCATGCCAGGGCCTGAGCTCTTGCCCACCTGCCTCTGCTGAGCCCACTTGACATTGGCATGAGGCCACTTTAACTTCCTTTAATCACATAGTGCCCTGCTGGCCTCTGCAGGCACTTGCCCTGCTGTCAGGACAGTGCTGACCCCTAGTGGGCCACATGGGGAGCTGTGTACAAACACCCCTTTCTCTGTCCCTTAACTCAGCAGTAATCCCACCTCCCACCACGCCTTGATCTGCACGGACAAAGCCTCCACTAGTCCTTCCTCAAGGTCTTGTCTGTCATTACCTCCGTTCGCTCATTCCTCCTCCCTCTTTCTTTACTCCTTTCTGCTGCGGAAACCTCTTTTCGTCGTTAAGGCCTAGTGACATTCCCACATCAGACACCTCCTTAACCCGTGCTGTCATTGGAAAGGGAGGGAGGCTGGATTCAGACAAAAAGAGCAGGGCTCCGACAGCACCCGGAAGTACTCTAGGATCCTTATAAAACGGCTCACCGATTAGACCTCATTCTAGTGCCTGGGTTCTTCTGTTTGATTGACTGATAAGTGCTCATACAGAGTGTGTGCTGGTTTGGTTCACTTGGTGGTGTTTTTTATCACAATTTTTCATGGGCCTTTGTCGCAGGCACCTGAGCCCCAACAAGCAAAACCTATTTCCTATGGGAAACGCCCTAAGAACTCCAAACCATAGTATGAAGATCAGTTTTAGAAGGTGAACAAACCAGTTCAGATTAGGGACTTCCATAGCCAGCAGAACTACCCGCCTGTTTTGTTTTGCTCTGCACTGTGCCTGCCACAGCCTCACACCCGCCGACGGGGGAGCTGGCGCTCTTCGCACACGCAGGAGTCCCGTCCGGACCTAGCACCCAGGTGACCATGAACAGGTGACCGGCAGAGAGATGGGGGTGGTCCTCCACCCTGTCAGCGATCACAAAGGCTCGTGGCGGGGCTGCAGGGGCACAGACCGGACTGTGAGGACGGGCAGGCTCTTCCTCTCCGTCAGCTTGGGAGCCAGGCCGCCGGTCAGCGTGGCAGCTCCTTTCCCTGCGGGCTATTGTGACGGGTGTGCCCATTAGAGGTGCAGGGGCTCCCTGGCAGCGGCTGCTGTAGATGCACAAGACTTGGGCTCTTCTGCAGACCTTGGACCATTTCAGCCTCCCTGAACAGGACCAATGTCCAAAGCCAGTCCTGGCTCTGAGGGGAAGGTAGGCCTGCTGCTGCTGCTGCTGACCGCCTAGGGCAGTGGTTGGCAAACTGCGGCTCGCGAGCCACATGTGGCTCTTTGGCCCCTTGAGTGTGGCTCTTCCACAAAATACCATGTGCGGGCGCGCACGTACAGTGCGATTGAAACTTCGTGGCCCATGCGCAGAAGTCGGTACTTTGTGGAAGAGCCACACTCAAGGGGCCAAAGAGCCGCATGTGGCTCGCAAGCCCCAGTTTGCCGACCACTGGCCCAGGGCATCAGAGTACCCAGCAGGGACCCAGTGCGGCCTGGGGGCCACACTTAGAATCAGAGGGTGGGTTCTCTAGAGCCCTAAGTGCTTTGTGGAAGATACCCAGTACAGGCCAGTGCGTTTTCTGGGAGGCATTTTATTTTGTAATCTACTTTTATTGATTTCAGGGAGGAAGGGAGGAGGAGAGAGAGAGAAACATCAATTGTGAGAGAATCATTCATCGGCTGCTTCCTGCATGCCCCACATTGGGGACTGAGCCTGCAACCCAGGCCTGTGCCCTGATCAGGAATTGAACCGTGACCTCCTGGTTCCTAAGTCACCGTTCAACCATTGAGCCACGCCAGCGGGGCACTTGAGGCATTTTAGGTTCAATGTTTCCTTCCTGCCCTTGCCCTAGGTGCCAGGCAGAGTCACACAGCTGTGCCGCCAGTATAGTGACGCGCCCCCGCTGACGTTAGAGGGGATCAAGGACCGCGTTCTTTATGTCTTGAAACTCTATGACAAGATTGACCCAGAAAAGGTAATGGGTGTGGTTTACATGTTCTTTTCTTTACATGCGTACTTAATCACGTGATACAAAATGCAGGCATCCAGACGGACATGCAGTAAAAAGTCTCCCTGCTCAGTCCCGTTCACCTCTGGGAGGCAGCAGTGATTCCCAAAGATACTGAGCGTGTGTGCAGGGCAGTAACACACGCACATGTATGTTGTATGTGCTGCGTGGTCTGTATCTCCCACCCTTTTAAAAGAACACAGTGGTAAGTGTACTGTAAACACGGTTATGCACCTTTCTGAACCTTTGGAGTTTTTCTCATAGCGACACGAAATTTCCTCTTTAATGATTGAATCTGTTGTGTGAGGATAGTGTGGTTTTGGAGGGTTTTTTTGTTTTTTGAGGTACAGCTGACACATATTAGTTTCAGTTATTTGTTATATATATTTTATGAATTAATCACCACAATAAGTCTAGTTAACGTTCATCATCACGCAGTTGCAGAAAGTTTTTTCTTGTGACGAGGACTTTTAAGACCTAGTCTCTTAACTTTCAAATGTGCAGGACAGTACTCCTCCCTCGGGTCACCACGCTGTACATGACCCAGGCCAGCGGTTGGATGTGGGTGTTGAAGAACTCCTCCCGGTGATCTGGAGGTCTGAATAAGGGCAGGTGGTGACACACACCATCTTAGAAGGTCACTTCTAAGGTGTAGTGTCTTAGTTGTTCATCAGGCAGCAAGAAAAACCAAATCTCGAATGTCGTGCAGAGCAATGAACAAAGATCTTAATATGTAAAGTGAAATTCATCATTAGCTTTTTATATATTGTTAACCAATTTAAAACAGGTTGAGAAAGTTGACATGTAAAGCACACCAAGTGTATGTCGGCACACAGAGGTATGTTAGTTATGGTTCCTCCCTGTTAAAAATAACCTGTGTCATGATTAGCACTGTACCACTCAGGTATCTAGTGAAGCATAAGCTCTCAGACTGAATTTTGTGTTTGGTGTCCCCTTCTTGCAGCTCTCAGTAAATTCCCATTTCATGAAAGACCTGGGCTTAGACAGTTTGGACCAAGTGGAGATTATCATGGCCATGGAGGACGAATTCGGTAACGCTCACTGGCTGAATCGTGGGTCTCCATATTGTGACGTGTGTGTATGATTTTAGAGGGAGAGAAACATCAATTTGATGTTCCACTTATTTATTCATTTATTGTTTGATTCTAGTATGCGCCCTGACGGGATGTAACCCTAAACCTTGATGTAGCGGAATGACACTTTTTTAAAAAGTTTTGTTTGTTTGTTTGTTTTTTAGATTTTTACTGATTTTTTAGAGAGGGAGAGGAAGAGAAACAGTGATGAGAATCATTGATTGGCTGCCTCCTTCACGTCCCCTGCTGGGGATCGAGCCCGCAACCTGGGCATGTACCCTTGACCAGAATTGAACCTGGGACCCTTGAGTCCACAGGCCAACACTCTATCCACTGAGCCAAACGGGCCAGGGCTCGGGATGACACTCTTAACCACTGAGCACCCGACCAGAGCCCATAGAGTGATTCTTGATTTGGGTGGGTTAAAGTGAAAGAATGTGAGGAGTCTGAATTGGGATTTGAATCGATACGTAAGTAGAAACAGTAGGCCCCCCTTCACACGCACGCATGTGCCATGGTTTCCTGCGATGTCGCCTGTGCATGCTCCAGGTTATTCTGTTTGGGACAGTTAGTTGTGCAATGAGACCATTCAAGGTTCCACAACTAATCTGGGGGATGAACTGCCTGAATAGAAGCCACAGGACTTGTGTGCCTCCCACAGAGCAGAGCTCAGTGGGCTCCTCACAGATTCTGCTAACGAGAGGCATGGTGTCTGTTGAGGGAGAGTAGGATGGAATTTCTTAGGGGGTAATGACATATTCTAAAATTGGATAATGGTGATGGTTACACAGCCTTGTGACGATGCTAAAAACCGTTGAATTTTACACTTTTCAATGGGTGACTTTTCTATTATGTGAATTATATCTTTTTAAAAAGAACCAACCATTTTACCCAATACAATATAAACACTGTCTAGATATAACTGAGTCAGAACTTGAATGGACTCAGGGTTGCTGGCAACTTGATATACTTGAGGGTGTTATGGAGGTATTGGTGCTTTCATGTGTAAAGGATTTGCTTTTGGCCCAGCAGCCATGGCTCAGTGGTTGAATGTCAGCCTGTGAACCAGGAAGTCACGGTTCAATTCCCTGTGGGGGCACATGCCTGGGTTGCAGGCTTGATCCCCAGTGGGGGGCATTCGAGGAGGCAGCCAATCAATGATTCTCATCATTGGTGTTTCTCTCTCTCCCTCTCTGAAATCAATAAAAATATATTAAATAAATAAAGGATTTGCTCTTTCTACTCTCATGCATGTTGTACATTTTACTTTTAGGGTTTGAAATTCCTGATATAGATGCGGAGAAATTGATGTGTCCACAAGAAATTGTAGATTACATTGCAGATAAGAAGGATGTATATGAATAAAGTATCAGGTAAATAATTTTACATAGAATGATGTTCTCCAATAGGATTAATCTCTGTGGGGTTCTTCAATAAAGTAAGACTCAGGAAGAAAAGGAGAATGGAAATGCGGGACAGGTTTTACTGGTTATAAAATGCAGGCCCTGTGGTTATCTGCCACTGCAAGGCACCAGCCTTAGTGATCTGATCTTTATCCTCGAGGGGGGTTGAGAGCACTTAATTCCTGGACAGACTCCCTAGGGCAGTAAGCCCTCCTAGCACGGTCTCGTAGAAAATACTACACAAATTAACCAAGAAGCAGAGACCGCTACCTCCCACGGCAGCCTAGGCCGGGCCTAGCTGTCCAGAAGTTGGGATGGCCTTAGCTGTTGGCTGTTAAGAGACCTCATGGGCAAGAAGACAGGCTCTGGAGTCACACCCCTGTTTGTTGTCAGTTCTGTCACGCTCTGAAGTCTGGTGGTTGTATGCAGGCTATCTAGCCTGTGTGAGCCTCCAGTTTCCCATATGTCCAATGGGGATAAAGGTAGGACCTACCTGGGATTTTTGTGAAGGTAAAATTCAGTGGTGTATGCAAATCATTTAATACAAAGCTTGATGGTAAAGAAGCCAGTCAATAAATAAATGTAGCTGTTATCTGGGCTCTAGGATAATCAAGTGGTGAGACTTGTTAAATAACGCCTAGCATTGGTGCCTGTAACTTCAGGTACTCTGGATGTAACACCTCAAAGATCTTCGTGTAAAGTTGGTAACAATACACCAGAAGAAATACTGCACTTATTGTGGCACTTACTGTGTCTTTTCCAGACCCCTTTCTTCACCAAGAAGATAGAGGCGAGTGTCTGGCCGAGAAAACCAGTTTTGGCATCATTGCTGACATCAACAGAGCAATTCTGTTTAAACTTGTATTTAAATTGTCTAAGTTTTTGTGCCCTTTGAAAATAAATCTATAAAACAATATTTTTGTCAGTCTTTAGTTTTTCAGTGATGTCTATAAAGTACATTTTTGTATTGACTATGCTTAATAGGGTTTTTTTGTTTTTGTTGTTGTTAATCCTCACCCAAGGATATTTTCCCATTGATTTTTAGAGAGAGTGGGAGAGGGAGAGACAGAAAAACACCAGTGTGAGAGAGACATCGATTGGGTGCCTCCTGCATGTGCCCCAACCAGGGCCAGGGATCAAGCCTGCAACCGAGATATGTGCCCTTGACCGGAATCAAACCCTTCAGTCCACAGGCCAACACTCTATCCTCTGAGCCAAACTGGCCAGGACTGTGCTTAATAGTTTTAAAGATCTGTCTGCTGACATTGTATTCATGCAGCTCAAAAATGCATGACTTTTCAAGCAGTGTACTTAGAATGAAACATGCTTACCTGGGACGTCCTAATTTTAACACCTGGGGCAATTTGTTCTGAGTATTCTAACCCCCGTGGCAGCTGCACATTTTGACAAAAGTCTGTGGTTGCTTCTCCCTAAGAGATGAGGCCTGTGGTATTGCCACCTCAGTCATGGCTCTGCTGCACAGAGGGGCCAGTTCGCATCATTCAGTAACTGTTCTACGTCCCACAGGAGCCAGAACAAGAAGGAAAATTCACTGAATCACAGATAATTCCTTGGCAATTAGGGTCTGAGTGTTCAAATAATAGCAAAGGCCCTTTGCTCTAAGTACTGGAATGTTGTGTGCCACCCTCAGTAGGCAGCCACTGGCCACATGGGGCTTTCCAGTGTGGGTGGCCCTGGCCCTGTGGCTCAGTTGGTGGGAACGTTGTCCGGTACAGCAAAAGGTGGCAGGTTTGATTCCCAGACAGGGTGCATACCCAGATTGTAGGTCCGATCCCAGATTGGGGTCCGTACTGAAGGCAACCAATCGATGTTTCTCTTTCCCTCCCTCTAAAGTCAATTTTTAATAAGCGTGCGAGCAGAGAACCAAGACGGCAGCATAAAGGCTTGCACGCGCTGCCTTCCACAACCACATCAAAATTACAACTAAAACACAGAACCATCATTCAGAACCGCTTGAAAGCTGGCTGAATGGAAGTCCCACAACTAGAGGAGTGAAGACAGACCACCGAGACCGATGTGCAGCTCCTCAGTAGTGGAATGTGTGACCTGTCCTTTGAACCTGCGATGACCTGTGGACAATGGCACGTGGTGGAAATGCACAAGTTTTATCACCAGACATAGGAATGAAGCACTGAGGCTGTCCTAGACCTGCCAGCTGATCACGAATTTATGAAACAAACATAGGGAAGCTCATAGAAGCCTGGCCTAGAGCAACAGATCCACCATCTGACTCATACATACCCAAGTAAGACGTTTTATTTTTAAATTTATTTTTCAATCCTCACCCGAGGATAGGACTTTTTCCATTGATTTTTTAGAGTGAGAGGGAGAGACACATCAATTGGTTCCCTCCTGCATGCACCCCACTAGGGCCAGGAGCCTACAACTGAGGTACTTGCCCCTGACTAGAATAAAATCCAGGACCCTTCCGTCCACAGGCCTGAGCCGAACCGGCCAGGGCTGCTCACTGGGTTAAGTCAGAGTTTTGGGTGGTCTATCATGAGGCAATGTCTAATTGACATACCCTACCAGAAGAGTGTGAGCGAGCGTGCAGAGACGGGACGGTGGGCACAGCTCTGACGGCCCCGAGCGCCTGTGCGCCTGCCTTAGTGCCCTGTGAGCGGCTGTGAGGCCCGTTTCCGGCCGACGTGGTGCAAGGGCACTCACTCAAACATCACATGCCCGCCACGTGCAGCACTGCCACTGGGCTGAGCCCGCACAGGTGAGTCCTGTGTGCCTCCACTCCTGGGAGCTCACCATCCGGGAGGGGGACAGTTAGCATCCATGTGACATGTCGCATTCAGATCACCAACAGTGCAAGCACTGCACGGTCCATGAACAGGAAGAAACACTGCTAGAATTGTTGAACCTGAATCTGATCATGTGGAAACATCCAGAAGGTAGGGCTCTAAAATAGCCCTACCTGGTTTGGCTCAGTGGAGAGAGTGTTGGCCTGTGGACTGAAGGGTCCCAGGTTCAATTCCAGTCAAGGGCACATGCCCAGGCTGCAGGCTCAATCCCCAGTAGGGGGCATGCAGGAGGTAGCTGATTAATGATTCTCTCTCATCACTGATGTTTCTCTCACCCTCTTCCTCTCTGAAATCAATAAAAATATATTATAAAATCAATGTCATGGGGGAGGATAGATAACTATTATAAAAGGAGACCAGAGACATCAACTTCAGGGGAGTGTGGGGCTGGGTGCTGGGGATGAGACAGCCCATTAGGAACACAGTGCTGTTGTGGTCAGACTAACCTCTTCTCATGAGGTTCGCACTGAGTACTCAGAGGTGTAGCATCAGGGCTGCAGTTAGCTTCCAAATGGGTCAGGAAAAAATAGCAAAAGGGTAACCAGTGACTGGGTGGCGGCTGTAAGCATGTATAAGGTAGGCGTGTATGTGCGTGCACACTATGCTATTCTTTCAACTTGTTTGAAAGTTGTCCATATAAGGGAGGCAATGCAACAGGATACATGCAACGGAAAGTACACACGCCATACAACTGGATACTCCAGCGATGAGACTGGTTACATAGGAAGTTATGCGATCGTGTGGAAAGACTGGTAAGTGCAGACAGATTTTAACCAGCATGACCCCATTTCTGGAAAGCACACCGAAATGTTAATGATTATGACATGGTAGGCACAGAGCTTATTTTGTTCAGTATTTTGTAAATTATAAATACCATGTATTGTGTAATAAATGACACATAAAAGTCATATTTTGCCCTGGGCAGTGTGGCTTAATTAGTTGAGTGTAGTCCCATGCACTGAAAGGTTGCTAGTTAATTCCGGTCAGGGCACTTGCCCAGGTTGTGGGCTTAATCCCCAGTAGAGGGCATGCAGGAGGCAGCCGATCGATTTTTCTCTCATCCCTCTCACTTCCTCTCTCTCAAAATCAATAAAAACATAAAACTTATAAACCAGGAGTGCCCGGCCGGCATGGCACAGTGGTTGAGCATCTATCTATGAACCAGGAGGTCAAGGTTCGATTCCTGGTCAGGGCACATGCCAGGATTGTGGGTTAGATCTCCATGCAGGAGGCAGCCTATCAATGATTCTCATCATTGATGTTTCTATCTCCCCCTCTCCCTTCCTCTCTGAAACCAATAAAACTATATTTTAAAAAAAACAAAAACACCCAGGAGTTATATAACATGGGGTGGACAGCAGGAAGGGTTGTACCAGGAGTTACAACATGGGGTGGACAGTAGGAAGAGTTGTACCAGGAGCTACAACATGGGGCGGGCAGCAGGAAGGGTTGTACCAGGAGTTACATAACATGGGATAGACAGCAGGAAGAGTTGTACCAGGAGTTACAACATGGGGTGGACAGTAGGAAGAGTTGTACCAGGAGCTACAACATGGGGCGGGCAGCAGGAAGGGTTGTACCAGGAGTTACATGACATGGGATAGACAGCAGGAAGAGTTGTACCAGGAGTTACAACATGGGGTGGACAGTAGGAAAAGTTGTACCAGGAGCTACAACATGGGGTGGACAGCAGGAAGGGTTGTACCAGGAGCTACAATATGGAGTGGACAGCAGGAAGTGTTGTACCAGGAGCTACAATATGGGGTGGGCAGCAGGAAGGGTTGTACCAGGAGTTATATAACATGGGGTGGGCAGCAGGAAGGGTTGTACCAGGAGGTACAACATGGGTGGACAGCAGGAAGAGTTGTATCAAGAGGGTAAGACAGGCTAGCAAGGCTTCGAACAGAACAGCCTTGATAACTATGAAGGTCAGCCCGGCTGAGTGCAGCCTCGTGGTGCAGGCCAGGGCTCCTGGGGAGAAGCACCCCCACTTGCATGTGCACCGGCTGTCCCGACCTGACAGCCTCTGGGCGCAGGAGGAAGAGGTCACTGCTACTTGCCCTAATGGCGTCTGGCTTGTGGATCCCAGATGAGAAAGGGGTGTCAGCTGTGAAGCTGCAGGTGTGATGTGCTATTCAGGCGACAGGTTACCTCCTCCTCCCTATCATCTGAAGGAGCCTGAAGCAACCATTCAGAACTGGGATCAAACCCGGAGGAGCCCACTGCCGTGAGCAGCCTGTGGCAGTGCCAGACCCTACGGCCCGACAGCACCGCTTCGGGGTATGAGGTACCGAAATAACGGAGAGAGTCAGGAGGGGCCATGGGACCAGAGTCTCTGGGAACATTTACAAAGCAGAGGGAAGGCGAGAGTGTCCAGTGGAAGTGGTGCTGGTGTCATGTTTGTTCCTGGGTCTTTGTGGCTGTGGCGGGAACTGGAGCTCCACCTCAGTGTGTCACCAGCCATGTCCTCCGAGGCTACCTGGCTGGGTGAAGTCACAGAGGCAAAGCCAGGTGTACAGACAGGGAGGTGGCATCGCCTCCAACACCTGGAGGCCGGAGCGGGAGGAGGGTTGTCCCACCAGGAGCATGGCCTGGCAGTGACTTTGACTCATACAGAAGTCCATCAAATCAAATCTCTTTATCAACTCTTTTTTGCTGGATATACTCAAATTTGGATATACTCAAAGTCAAATGAAGAAGACAGGAAAATGGTTGACCATAGCTGGTTAAAAAAAAAAAAAAAGGCTCCAGGCCCAGTTCCAAATATTGGTCAATCCCCAGTATGGATTAGGCGCATGAAGAAGTGGAAGGAAAAAGGAGACGCAATTAATTATCAAACTTTAATTGATAGGCTAATCTTACAGGATAAACAATAAGACAGCTAGTCAAGGTTACACTTTTTAAAAAATCCAGCAGCGCAAATCTAACAGACTAGATACGTTCCTCTCCTCCCAAACAGGCATTGGATTAAAAACAAACCAGACCAGAGCAGACACAAGAAACATGGTACTTACGTATATTGTCAATTCATTCTGGAGAACTCGTTAAGAAAAAAGAAAGCGGTTCTTGACATTTGGAAAGCAGC